GTCCTCACGTGAAATCTTCCTCACCATCCGATCTCTAAAAAAGAGAAAAGCCCCTGGCGCAACCCTTCGACCGAGTCTGGCACGAAGGCCTTATCTCTAAACTCATCGCCCTTAACATCCCACACTTTCTAGTCGGGATAATCAGGTCCTTTCTCACAGACAGAAGCCTTCGAGTCCGCGTTGGCTCTGCTCTCTCTGCCAGTAAACCCGTCACAGCCGGTGTCCTACAAGGCTCCAAACGTTCCCCTATTCTGTTTAACTTGTTTTGCGCGGACATGCCCTCCCACTCATCTATTATGACTGCTCTGTACGCTGACGACATTGTCATCATAAACTCTTCCAGCGCCATTCTCCATTGCACAGCGAGAATCAATAGGTTTCTGCCCCGGCTCCTAAACTGGTATCGGAAATGGAGACTCTCCATTAACGAGACCAAATCGGAAGCAATCTTCTTTTCTCGTAGGCTCCGAAAACCTCCCTCCATCATCGTCAACAACCGCCCCATCAAATGGAGCACCTCTTTCACGTACCTAGGCGTCGTCTTCGATAGACGCCTAAACTGGCCGCACCACATTACGGCGACCCATAACAAGGCTCTGGGTACATTCGTCGCACTTAAACCTTTCTTCCGTAACAAGACCATCTTCCAACAAACCAAAATCCGTGCGTTTAACGCAATTCCTACGTCATCCCTATTTGGGGCTGCACCCATCCCCGACGTCTTCAAATTCTACAAGGCACCTACATGCGGATTCTTCACTGGTTCATCAGAAATACCCAAATTCTGAAAGAAACTGGTCCAACTTCTCTCCCCGAGGCTGCAACCAAATTCGCAGCAAATCTTAGGGCCTCAGTGTCAGGCCACCCAAACCCAACTATCTCGACACTATCCGACTTCGCCCCTAAACCAAACGACCGTTTCAGGAGGCCCTGCCACCTTCTTCACTGAGCTGCACACTTAGGTTCATCATAGTTCCGAGCTGTCCACTTTTGCTCGTTTTAGGTTTGAGCGGTTCTTTTATGCTCATACTAGTTTCGCTTTTTCAGCGCAAGTCCCCACCCTATTTCTGCGATGGGGCACCTACTCACACCCTCATCATCCCTCCCCAAGCACTCCCATCCCCATTTTTACATCTCCCTCTCCCCAATACAGCCAAAATATTTCCCTTGGGGTAACAGCTTTATGGTTGAAATCCCATCTCGAGGAGGGGTTTTAGTCGGTAGGCGCTACGGCGAATCCGACACTATCTCCCTTCAGGGGGTGTCTTTTGAAGATTTCCCCTGCTTGAGGCTAAACTAAACAAAAAAAAAAGAATAGGCTCGGGTTCGGCGGCTGGCGGTCGTCGAGTAAACATCGCTCTCGTCTTGGAAAGTACAAAGGCGGCGGCGGTAACAATTCCCCCCCGCGTTATGACCAGAGCCAGATGTTACTTTGAAGTCTAGCGGTGTTGAGGGGCGGGTAGGAGGTGGTCGACGTGAAGCTTATTCTGGGTGTTGTCCCAGAGAACTTCATACACGTTGTTTCCGAGTACCGCGGTGACTTCGTGGGGCCGGTCCAGGTCGGTGCGAGGCCATGTTGCTTTTTAAAGTTCTTTGCCAGAACGAGGTCTTCCACTTGAAAACCTACGGTGGTTGAGTGGCTCGGCAACATACCTCCTTTGGTACACTTGCTGGCGACGGACAATCTGTTGGCGGCGTTCCTCCCGGGCCTGTCCTGAAGTATCGGGGATGTCAGTATTGGGGGTTTCCCCGAGTCCGGGACGGTTCATTGTGTAGCCGAAGAGGGCCTCGCTTGGAGTCTGGAGTGTGGCGACGTTCCGTCGGGGTCGTAAATTGAACAGCACTTTGTTCAGCGCCTTATCCCAGTGTTACGGCGGTTGGTGTCCTAGGTGGATTCGTAGGCCCTTCTTGAGCTCCTGGTTTCTCCGCTCGGTGGGGTTTTCTCGGAGATGGTAAATGGCAATGGTAAATACCGGCTGAAAACTTCTTCCTCCAGGTAGTCTAAGATTGCCTTGGTTGGAGTGCTTGGGACGGCCTTGGCTTCCACCTATCGGGAGAACAAGTCAACAAGACCGCCACGGTTTCCCAGGGCCGTCGGGGTGTTCTTGGGCGTGGAGTCGCGGCTTTCTGACGGATGCCTGACTTTGTGCAGGCGCAGATTAGGCATCCCTTTAGATACCGACGGACGTCCTTTGGCAGCGTCGTCCAGTGGTATTGTAGTTGGATGGTCCGAAACGTCTCGTCGCTTCCCGGGTGGCCAGCGTCGGGGTGATCGTGGAAGAAGTGGAAGACGTGCTGGTGTAGGGCTTCTGATACAACGAGGAGATCCCTGTTGTCCTTCCGACGGTAGAGGAAGCCATTCCTAGCTGTATAGTGCTCCCGGAAACCTCTTTCGCCGGGGAGTTGTGGGGCTTCGGTCTGTAACCGATGCCAACGCAGGATCATCCATTGTATCCCGGGATCTACGAGTTGTCCTTCTTCGATGCGCGCGGTAAGTGGTGGTGATGGGTCTTCGTGTTCGTTTACTTGGTTAACGGCCGCCGGAAAACAATCAGGTGGCAGCACCCGATCACATGCAGTGTCCTCGATTTCTTGTTCTTCGGAGTTACGGGAAAGTATGTCCGGCAGTTGGTTGAGCCGACTCGGATAGTGTTCTACCGTGAAACTGAATTCCTGCAGCCATAAGGACCATCGTGTGAATTTTGCCTTTTCGTCCCGCGATTTCTGGAACCATAGTAACCCGCGATTGTCCGTCCGGAGGATAAATGTCTTTTCCTCGAGGTACGGCCGATACTTCTTGGTAGCCCAGAGTGGAACGCTTGTGGCACTTTCCGCCATTGTCGCTGGTACATTCGGTGTTAATGGGCTGGGCCACTCATCCTGAACTTGAAAGGTGGCAGGACTAAAGGTGACCTGCGTTGGCGGCGTTGCCAGCGGTGGTGGCGTTCGGAGCGGGATTTGATACGGCGACGATCTCGACGTTTGTATTCATGTTAACCACTCGTAATTATATGTAAATAAACTTCCTTAATCTAAGAAATTAATAGCTTAATTTAGCCGTTCCCAAACGAAAGAAGGTGCGACCAGGTCCGAGTGCTCTACAGGCTAGTCCGGCAGTTACCACGCGCAACCATCTACGCGTGCTCGGTAACAAGCTGTCGGAAATGTCCTTGGACAACTTACGACCTGACATTGTCTCGATTTGGGAGGAAAAGGCATCGGTAAGGGGAGCAGCGGATGAAGACTCAATGTCTTCCGTCACGGGCGTAGGCAATTGTGGAGATGAATGTAAACGAATAAATTCGTTTACTTCGACGAGTTTGACCTAAGGGTCACTCGCCAGGGCAATGGCGTCCGCAAGGAAAAATCCCTCCAAGAGTGGCTAGCTAGGTAGAACTGGACTTTCTATGTGACTTTTCAGAATCAGGAAAAAAAGTTCAAGAATAAGGAAAATATATTTAAATTAGTGAAGAAGATTTGTTTATGTTAGTTGTGGTACGTTGAAGTTCAAAGGTACATTATGTACTCCGTCCCAGAGAATTGTTGGTTTGTTGGTTAGTTAAAAATAGAATAAAAACTCTTACCTATTACGGCTGGGCAGAATATATTGTTAACCTTAGATAATAAATTTGTCCAGTTACGGACAGTTGTAATAAACGTCTGATTCGCTGTGGAAAAGGCTCTGGTCGTTTCGGTGATAGAAATCGGTGTCTAGTACGTGATTCGTATAACGAAGGGCGAGCACAAAGTGCAATGTAAGGTTTTTTTTTGTTTAGATCTCGAGGAGGAGAAATCTTCAAAAGACACCCCCTGAAGGGAGGTACTGTCGGATTTTTGCCTACTAAAACCCATTCCTCGAGCGGGGAGATAAACCCTGAAGGTTGCTCATCCCCGGGAAAAGAATGGAAGGATTGGGATTAGGGAGGTTGAGAAGGGAAAATGGTTAAACGCGGGGGGTTGGGGGGGGGGGCCTTCGGAATATGTGGTCCAACTCTGAAGTGAACACTCGCACTAAAAAGTGAAGCTAGGATGCAATGTAAGGATGTGCATCATCCTTATATACGGGTAATTAGATCGAAAACATATTTGCCTGAGATTAGGGACGATAATGGCAAGTGACACTACTCAATCTCATCGATCTCATCAATGCCAGACGACATTAAAAATTACAAGACTCCATAGCATTTGCGCAGACGCGAAATGATTTTACATCTACCGCATTTTTATTCGAATTCAAATAAATGATCCCAAACTCTCCAACCTCTTCAGCAGTATTGTATAACATTATTACTGCTTTTATATTAGGCAAGGTTTCAAGTAAACAGGAACTATGAATTAAAATAATATTCACATGCAAATACTTTATTAATATATGACTGTGAAATTTCCATAGGTTATATACCTTTAAAATATTAATTTACAAAGAAAATTATCGAAAATACCTTCTCTCTATTTTTTTCTTCTGAGTTTCTTATAAACAGATTTTTTTTCAACTAAAAGTAGTATTACTGGAGTTTAACCGTTAACGCCAACTACCAAAATGAACTGTTAAAAGTGTTTATTTTCAATAAAAGCTGCTCGAAACGCCTCCCCTCGATTATTTCATGTACGTTTTTCATGATTAGATCATTTTAAGCCATTTCTAAAAGGTTACATTTTCGAAAAAGCCGTGATTCGGAAGTTTTACCGAATTTTTTGCTTTAAAAAACCTTTTATATTCACTACCAAAAACAAAGTGTATAAATCTTTGTTTAATAATTGTAGACATAATTATTGTAATGTATATAAATCAGTAACAGCAATAAGAATTAACGTCAGTATCAAAAGCACTATAAACAGGTTAGGATACTTATTCATTTGACCTATCGTTTGAAGTTTGAATTGGTGGCAAAGTCAATTACCATAGACATGGCAAAATAATTATTTGGCATCTGTGTAAATGCTACGAGTCTTGCGATTTTAGCGTCGCCTCTCGCCTATCAATGCCTGTCAATGCCTATGGTCATTGTCAATGCTAACCATATTCCATAAACGTAAACCCAAAACAAAGACAATCTTATCGGAAAAAATAAAGAGAGTTTAGATAATAGTTGTTAATAAAAAGTTTAATTACCAACAGAGAAAACCAAAACGATTTCATTATTATTAAAGAATTAATAATGTTACTGCTTCATTTCTAGCATACCTACTCAAGTGACGTGTAATAAACTTACTGTATTTTGAAAACGTTCCATGTTTAAAATGTTTAAGTGTAACTTATTTAAAGTTCTGTGGAAATTTATCTAAAAGGACCCTCACAGTCTTTTGCAGTTATTTATTTTTAAATGTATTACAATTTGTGAGGAACTTTAAAATGACCATTATAGTTTTTTTGATTGATACTTCAGCATCCATGAATCAGAAGTAAAAGCTAGTAGTGCTTGAATTTAAATAATATTTATATAAACATTTTATTTATATTTTTTAGAACATATGTAGNCAATAATATTTATATAAACATTTTATTTATATTTTTTAGAACATATGTAGGGGGCAGAACTTCATTGCTAGATGTTGCTAAATCAGCAGTTGAAACTTTTGTAAAAATACGTCAAAGAAGCCCCGAAAGCAGAATTGATAGATATATGTTATTAACATTTGAAGAGCCCCCAAACAATATTAAAGCAGGTTTGTTTTATGTAAATTGTAAACAGATCATTCAAAAATTCTATGGAGAATATTTACTTCAAGGATGGAAAGAGAATCTGGCTACATTCATGAATGAATTAAAGAATTTGCAATGCTATTCAATGACTACAATGGGAGTTGCTGTCAAGCAGGCCTTTGATATCTTAAACATCAATAGAGTAACATCTGGTATAGATACATATGGACAAGGAAGATGTCCATTTTTCCTTGAAACATCTGTAATTGTACTTATTACTGATGGAGGAAAACTCACATCTGGTAATTAATCATTTAAATAAAATTAAATTTCTATATAAAACGGATTATTAATAAACTGTTCAATAATAGTTCTTGTTTTTACATTTTTTCATTAAGTAAATGGTGTGTATGAAGATTTTACCTTGCCAATGACTTCACAAATTCCTGGAGCAGAAATGACCAGAGAACCATTTCGTTGGGATCAGCGACTTTTTGCTCTTGTCTTACGGTTAGCTGGTACACAATTGAAATAATTTTGAAAAAATATTTAGATTCAAATTTCACTATTTAAAAGGTACACCTGCAATTGAACGAGATGCAGGATTAGTTCCTAGTGATAGCAGTCCCATTGATGCCATGTGCGAAGTAACAGGAGGTCGATCCTATTGCATAACTTCCCACAGGATGTTAAATCAGTGCATTGATAGTTTAGTACAAAAGGTTTCGTTTTAAAAGTACATTTCTTATTTTTGGGACCAACATTTTAAATTGCAGGTTTTAAATGGTGTCGTAATAAACTTTGAAAAGATTGGTCCAGATCCTCCACCTCCAAATATGGACAAAATTGATGACATTTTAAACAAGGATGATGAATTAAGCAGAGAATATGAAAATTCAAATGATTCTCCTATTAAAAACGATAGACCGCTTCCTTCACTAAGCAGTACTTCCTGGCATAATTGTCGTAAAATGATATACGTACAAAAAAATCAAAAGGGTTTTCCATTAGGGTTTTGGCCTATTCCTGAATCGTTTTGGCCTGATATGACCGCCACAGTGCTTCCCCCAAGAAGTGCACATCCTAACGTAAAATTCACATGTACTAATTCAGATCCAATGGTTATAGAGAATTTACCCTTTGACAAATATGAACTAGAACCTTCACCACTAACTCAGTATATCTTGTCTAGGAAACAGCCAACTGTTTGCTGGCAGGTTAATAACATTTGCCCGTTAGTTGATTGTATTTAATTCATTTTTTTTATTAATAGGTGTTTGTGGCCAATAGTTATAAGAATTCTGAAGTTGGGCATCCATTTGGATATCTTAAAGCGAGCACAAACCTAAGTTGTGTAAATTTATTTGTTATGCCCTACAATTATCCCGTTCTTTTACCCTTATTAGACGAGCTTCTTAAAGTATGTTTATTTATATTAAATTGCTTTTCATTTAGATATATATGTCCAAATATTTCTTTCTTTTTTTTCTTATAAGATTCACCGATGGAAACCGACGAATGAATGGCGAACACAATTTCAGAACTACATGCGAACCTTGCCTTCCTACTATGCAGCCCCATTACGTCGTGCGCTTACACGAATGGGTAAGATCGACTGAGATGATGTTAACGCTAAAGTTTAATAAAGTCACTTTTGAAGGTTCTCCTGTAGCTCTCGCCCAAACCCTAATTCCTGAAACTGCCGAAAACGGAATTAGCTACTCAGTCAGTAATTACTTGAAGCGACTTAAAAACCAAGCCAAAATTGAGTATGATCGATTGTGTAGCGAAATATTGCAACGTCAAACACAAGTATACCATATTAGCACTTTTTTTGTTTTTTTTTTTTTAATGGTTGTTTGCTTTAGAACGTAAGCAAGAATAACTTTAATATACCAGAACAGATATGGATGTTACCTCGAGTTACTCTCAAAAAAGACCTTATAACGCATCCCTTACTTCTGGACAAGTTTAATGCACAAAGGGATCAATTGTTGGAACAAGGAAACCTCTTTGTTTGTTCAATTGAAAAGGAACGGCTTTCAGTTAGTTTCAAAAATCCTTTCGATATTCCGCGAGATCGGCTCATGCAACAGGTAAAAAAGGGATACTATAAGAGAACGAGAATTTTATTTTTTCATGTGTAGGTTGCTAGAATGAGAAACAATTTCCTGCAGTCTGACTGGATAGCTCAGGATTTAGACAGCGCTCATTCTTTACCCATCTCTCAAATGGGGAATTACCAGGAGTATTTGAAAAGGCAAACACCCCAGTTGCGCGAAATCGAGTCCACCCCTGTTCGACAACACATGTTTGGTAATCCATTTAAAATTGATAAGAGGATGATGGTAAATATGAAATATTGATAGTATATATACATTCCTTTGATTCTAATTATTATTTCAGGTCGATGAAGCTGACATTGATTTAGTGGGCTCTGGAGCGCCGGGTGCGAAAGGATCGAGCAAACGCTCTGGTTCAGCTATTCCGGACTCTATTTCCCGAATTCCAACGAAACGAAAACCGGGGCCATTACCGAAGGATTTAGTTATACGTAAACCCAACTTGGGTAGTTCCTGTTCAACAAATTCATCGCGTTCATCATCTCCAATACCATGGTAATCAAAAGTTGTTAACGCTTATTACCGCGAGATAATCAATTGCATCTTTCAGGTTAAGTTCTCCTGATAAAGAAGTAGCAATGTTAGTTGAAGAAAAACTACCTCCTTTGGGAATTAGTGCAACTGTAAACGGTATAGATTCATTATATGAACAACGATCACGATCTCCGTCACCGACACATCTTAATGACGTCTCCATTAATAGTAACGATATGTCTTTCATACCGTTGAGGGCAACACACACGATGAATCAAAACGTCTGTTATTCCCCTAGCGGTTTAGACAACAGCAATGAATTCACCTACAGTACCTCAAGTACCAATGATGACAAGCAAATTTCGCAAATACTGAAAGAAGCTAACAGTCTGTGGGCACCTCTTCAAAATAACCTTACGCAAGATCAAAAACCTAAGGTTAAAAATACTCTTTTTGAAAAATAATTGGTTTTTACATAAAACTAAAACCCTATCTATAGTTTGCAACATTGTTAATATCTTTTTCAATTGTTTCAGATGATAATTATGGAATCAAGGGACGAAATAGAAAGTCACAATTTAGAAACGAGAAAACTTTTAAATAAGTTGGTACGAAGACCAGGTAAAAATTTTACGGAACTTTTTAAAAATATAAAGTTACTCAAAGGTGATACGGACATGCAAGTGCAAGCTGTTAGACTAATTATTGTTGAATCTTTAAGGTTTAAAAGGCAACACTTGGCAGCCCTCTTAGAGGATCACATACAAAATTTGACAAATTTAGAAAACAAATAACGACTTGGTATTGTACATTAATGAATTTATTTATGAAGTGTTGCATACATGTATCGAACAGTTCATTATTGTATTTATAATATTTTAAAGTTCATGAATGATTTTGTGTAAACATGTATTGCATAGTGTTTCATTTTAAAGTGGCGGTTGGTATTTTTTATTTTGATTTGCCATATTTTTCTAATGCAGTCTTTAAAATATACTTGTACAATGCGATTTATTACANTTATATTAAAAATTAATTCAAAATGTCATTTTATGTCGCCAAAATTCCTAGATAATACTTTTAATGGTTTCTATTATAATTATTTACATGGAATGTATATAAAACACATAAAACATTCATTTACTTACTCAAGTGCTACTTGGACGGAAGAGATTCACAATAGTATGCTTACTACAAATATGAATTGTTTTTTGTAAAATATTAGTAATTGGTAATAACTTTTCCATGACTGACAAAAACAAGTACAAAAGTCTCATTACACTTATTTTGCCTTTTTCAAATATTTTTGCGGATTATTTAGAAAAGTTATTACATTTTTTCTTTTTGTACATATATGTTAAACAAAACTTTGACAAATTATTGCTAGAGTTGTGCTCCCCAGGAAATACACATGATTTGTAAAATATATTAGTCCTTAAACTACTTTTCACACCTCCCATAATTACTTCTTAACATATAGCTCTAACACATCATCCAAATGAATAATTTTTCTGTTTGTAAGGAAAATGATGTCATCAGTTCCTACAACAAATACATTGTATAAAATTTATACTATTTACAATTGCAATTAAAAAAAAAAAGAAATAACATTAACTTGGAGACGTGTATTTCCTGGGCTGTATCCTAAAACCTGTCCTTGCTACTAATCATATCTTGATCATTTAAATAACGCAAGTCTTGTAGTTCTTGGAATTTCTCATGATCTCTAATGTGTGCATAGTTGGCAGACAAACACATTAGGTAATGAACCTTAAATAGCATTTAAATTTAAATAAATATGCAATCACTTCACATTTAAAAATATTAACCTACCAAACTTAATATTACCAGTACAGTGGCAACACTTGCCAAAATGAACATTATTTCTGCTTTTTCCACATAATCTTTACAAAACAGCTTTACATTTTGAGAATCACAAACTTTCATATGCTCCTGTTTTGTTCCTGAAGGAAACAGAAAGTCTGAAATAAAAATAAAATTATTGGAAGAGTTCTCAGTTATAGATTATATATACATACAAAATTGAGTCAAATCAATACAGTCCCTTAATGTTTCAACATTAGGATTGGCACACATATTCCAAAAAACAGTGAAAATGAAAGTAACAATAATTAGAAAGCAGAACATTAATAGCCATGCTATTTTTAGTATATATGTTATAATCATAAACTAAAATATAAAAACCAATTAACACTTATCAAATAAAACAGAATAAGTAATTTACCACTGCACAGCTTATGCGTCCTCCTACCCTTGATCTCCAAGCACGATACACTTTATGTCTTGTAGCTCCAGTTGCTAAACAACCAACAGTTAAAATCATTAAACCTAAAGCACCCATACAAGCTCCAGTGATTACAAAGGTCATTTGTACTGCATCAATCCTAAAATATTTTACTAATGTGGTATATGTGTATACTTATGTTTCTTATTTAATTACCAAAACAGTCTCATCTTAAACACTTGTTCAAACATAAGAACTGCAAGAGTAGCACCCCTGTACATTGTGCCACAAAAGACAACCACACCCAACATGCACATAATAGTGGCAATGAGGGTGGCATAGGGAATACGAGTAAGACATGCATCACAACCTGGAAAAAATGAATGTAAAAATGCACAATAAACAGTAAGTAGGTCAACATTTCCAGGTAAGAATAATACAATTATAATCGCATTCTTAAGTATGACTTTTCTAATAATTGTTTGTACCTGTTGCCTTCCTTTGCATGGATATTTCAGAGTAACGCCCTATGCTTGCTTGTGATCTAGAGATAAATGAAGTCTCTTGCAAGGGTGTTCTTGCATTCACCATTATAAAAATTTGTTATTTTTTTCTCTTTATAATAAATTACAATATACCTGATTAATCAACTGTTAATTACTAACATAAGTGACGTCAAATTTTATGTTCCGAATTATAATAACTCTAACGGTAACTTCCGTAAGTCATTGCGTAAACAAACGATAAAAAATGATAAGAGCAAGATAATTATAAACGAGTAACATCGAAATATAATTGTACATACCCATTTCAAACTGTTTTAGTTTCTAGTTTCGTTACGACATTAATAATGTCATTTAATTAACTAATAAGTCATAAACGATTAAACAAAATTAACCATAGAGCATTAACCTTTGTTTCAATTTTGTTTGCTAATTTTGAGAATGTTTTAAAAGCAGTCTAGTCGTCACGCCCGTATAAGCACGAGTATAGCCGAATGTTGACAACTGTGTGCACTGTGATTTGTAACGAAGCTAGGATTTTATTTATCGGAAAATATATGTAAAGTGTTAAGTGGATAGGTGTGAGACGTTAGACAGTTAACCCCAATTTCGAACTTAATTATGAATATAATAAAGGATAATTAAAGCACCGTTAGAAAGTATTTTATGCACTCCGACAACTAATTTTATAATTATTATATTTATTATTAATTACATTTCATTGCATAAATAATGTAGGTATAAGCGTAGCTTTTATGCATTCTTTTGTGGTATACAGAGTGTTTCTAAAATAAGTAGCATACTTGCAGCAGGTAATAGGGAACTATAAAACAAGAAAATTAAGTACAGTCAAAGGTGGGTTCGACCCACATAGGATCAGGCAGTGAAATCATTGCAATGCCGCATTCAATCAGCTACTACTTAACAGAATCCGTATTGATTTCTTTTGTATTTTTATACTTGCAGTGTTTGTTATTCGTTAGGTTAGATTAAATATGATTGAGGATGTTTATTTTACAGCCAGCCTAGAGTAATTCTTTGTTCTTTTAGGTTGTGAATTTGAATGTATGTTCTAGCATAGATAAAAGACTAGTAGTTAGTCGAAGTCATTCGCAATGTGTCAGTGTGCGTTCGCGGATCTTCTGGAATCGATTCGGAATAGATTCTGAATTGTTCTGAAATGGTTCTGAACCGATTCTAGTGGTCCTCGGTTTTTTACTGGGATAAAAAGTTCGGCTCGGCTGTGCATGCGCAATACGAATTACAGTCAACCTTCTCAGCTCTCTTAAATGTCTCTTAAATGAAAATGATCAACCAGACTAAAATGACAGAGATGGTGTAGTAATTCTACAAGAAGTAATGAACAATTTGCAATTTGTAATTTAAAAGAAAACTAAATGAACTGTTGTTTTTTATGAGAACATTAAATATGTTTGTTAAGATGATAAAAAGATATTTTGGGCAAAATCAGTGCCATATTGTATATTATCAATAAAAATAGTTAAACAAAAGATACCTATATCTATTTAAAGTAGTAAACACTTATAAAACAAGTAAACTTCAGCTAAAATAGTTCTAAGAAAGAAACATAAAATAAACAGCAGTCATTAAAATATCTAATTTCTATTCTAAAGAATAGGTCAGCATTAGATATTATCACATTATTCACATATCAACTGCGTTGTCTAACAGCTGTATATCTGTTATTTTTTTAATACATTTCCAATAAGGTCTTGAGTTCTTGGTAAAACTTCCGTATCATGGCTTCTCGAAAATGTAACTTTTTCTTGTTGGGAATAGCTTAAAATTGCCTAATCATGAAAAATTTACATGAAATAATCGCGGGGAAAATATTTTGAGTAGTTTTTATTGAAAATAGACATTTTTAGATTACACTTCACAGTTCATTTTGGCAGTTGCCCGTAAAGCTCCCATACAGCACACAATATCCTATGGATGTACGATTACGTCCCAATTACGTCCATCATGTCCAATTTTCTTAAAAGAATTCTGGAGATTATACTATGCATATCCTCATTTTAACATATTTATAGGTGTCTTTATAGGACGTGCATCGGGTATCCCAGAGCCAGGCAAACTCGGCTCTTTTGACTCCCGAGTACTTCTCAGGTATAATCAAGGAGCTCCTCATTGCTCCTACGAGTGCGAGTGAGATGATTCTTTCCTTTTCTTATCCCTTCCATTTCGTAGGTGAGCCCCCTCTTCCATAACCGAACCTAATAGCTACGGGACGATCATTAAAAAATTTTCGTAGGTAGTATTTAGGTTGCGAGAAAGGCTTCGCTCGTCTATGGGGTGGAGGGGCTTGATATGGGAGTGGAAGGGAGAAGAAAAAGAGAAAGCAATATGGGTCATTACTGCTTACTCTCGTACTCATTGAAGGATATGGAGGTACCCAAACTAACATCAGGTAGAGGCTCCTACGAAGTTAATGTTTGCCCAGCTCTGGGATATCCAGTGGGTACATATGTATCTGTATATTTCATTATGGCGTTAGTATGATTGATGTCATTATATTACAACCGTTTTATAAAATGGTGTTAAAGAATTTGCTCTTGCCTGTTGCGTCGTTAAATCGAAAGAGCGGTAATGTGGTAACAGTCGATTAATAATAATTAAATTAGTCAGTAGTCCACATATAGCGCCTCCAACATGATAGTTTAATAAAGTATCAATTTCTATCGTTTCTATTGCCTAATCCAAAACAACCTGTTATTGCACCTTCTTTACCTTTATCTATTACTGCGTTGAAGTCTCCTATAACTATTAGATTTTCCTACCCTTTCACTAAACTTAACGCACTATTATCGTTTTTACCGGTTTCGAGTTTAATTTTACCATAAGTATCCTATCGCTTTTTTGTAAATAACTTTCTATACACTGTCCTGCTTTCCTACTCATTACAATTCCTACCCCTGAATTACGATTACACCGATTAAGTATGTATTACAGTACCTATCCATTCCAGAAGTCTCCAGCTTCTGGTCAACGTACTTCACTAATGTCTATTATATCTAATTCTAATCTGTTCATTTCAACTTTCAAATTTTCTAATTTTCCTACTTGCTTCATTGTCCTAACATTCTACGCTCCGACTTGTGAAGTATTGCACCTTCTATTGCATTTGATGATATTCCCCGAGGTAGCCCCGCCTGGACATCCGAACTGGGACCAATTTACGTCCGAAGTGATTTACCCCAGAGGACGCCATCATTTAAATAATAGAATGGTAAAAGTAGGTTGTACTCGGGATATCACCTTCCATATCGCAGTATTGTACATCAGAGTGCCACTGTATTACGGTTGCGAAACATGGACGGTGACGCGGCGAAAAAGAAAAGGTTAGAAGCTTTCGAAATGCGTTGTTACATGCGAATTATGAGAATACCGTGGATAGAGAGAGATAAAAATAAGGAGGTATTTGAAAGAATAGGAGAACAGGGGGCACTATGGAAATCAATAAGAAATAGGCAAGATAGGTTGGTAGAATGCTTTCTCAGGCATGAAGGGCTAATTACAGACATATTAGAAGCAGAAGCAGGAGATAAGAAGAGAATAAGTAGACCTACATTAGATTACTGTTCACAAGTGGTTAAGGATGTGGGATGCTCTAGCTTTAGAAAAATGCGAAGATTAGCTCAGGATAGGAAAAAGTGGAGGTGCGTGTCCAATCAGTCTTGGGGCTTTATGATGATGACGACACCAATAAACACATACACATATAGAAGATAGAAGACTAGATTCGAGATATTCGATTGAACAATGAGCCAACGCATTCGTGCGCTGTGTGGATGTGCGTTTCGCTGTTCACTCGGCGCGTTTCATTTTATTGCACCACTAGTGACCCGCCCCAGCTTCGCACGGGTGTAATGTTGATACTAAATATATTTTTGTTTTGTTTAGATTATTATCGAAAAAGGGAAATCTTCAAAAGATACCCCCTGAACATACTAAATATACTACAGAATGTCTTTATATACAGCATTCACAGTTTTTTTGTCATTAGACAATACAAACCGGCCTCCCGGCCGGTACCGCCGCAACCGCTATGTCCCTGCATTTTAAATCTGTAATATCTTCGAAAATATTCATTTAAATTACATACTGTAAAGGGCCATATTGATCTATATTAAATGCACAATATATTTAAGGTACTTAATTGGATAAGAATTAATGCAGTATTTTTTAAAATCGCGTTGTAAATAAGCCATTATTTCTCATAAAAAGTAAAGGATAAAAAATGGTTATTGCGGATTGTCCTTAAGAGATAGACATATACCATCCCGGACTTTTTTGTAGACCTTTTTACGGTTTACGTAGTACAATATTTTGATCTATCTCGTAGGGTTCAGCCAGCGTTTGCAATGTAAACGCAAAAAAATGTGTTTATTTGCGACATCACATTGGAAACTACTAAAATTATCAGTGTTTCTCTACTATATTATGCATGTATTATACATATAAACCTTCGTCTTGAATCACTTTGTCTATTAAAAAAACCGCATCAAAATCCGTTGCGTAGTTTTAAAGACTAAGCATACATAGGGACAGACAGTGGGAAAGCGACTTTGTTTTATACTATTTAGTGATGCGGCAATTTTGAGTTAGCGCAATGAACCGGCGCAGTTAACTGTGCCTGAGTTACTGAGATAACGCACAGAATTTCGCTGAGGCCCGTTTGCACCGACGTTTTACTAAGGCAGGCTTAACAAAGTACTGCTTAAGCATAAGTCTTACTTAACTTCCAATTCGTTTGCACCGTACGCTGTCTACCTGCAACTTAAGTAAGTAGTGCTTAGTTGTTGATGGTTTGGCAACAACGGTAAAATTTAGTAATTTGTAGGGTTTTTTGTGCAGAATGGTCAAGAAGTTTCAAATTTATTGTGTCCGTTAAGTAACGTCTGCTGTCGTGAAGTGTTGTTTGCCGCCTTTTTCTGCTGTTATACGTTTTTGTTTTTGTAATTATTTGTGTTTTGTTAGGTTTTGTTGTGTTTTAGTTTGTATATATATTAGTGATATGGTGTTAGAAACAATTTTTAGTTGTAATTGGTATAGTGTAGAGACAATTTTCTTCTGAATTTCGTATAAACAAACCTTTTCTAACTAAAA